TGTAGAAATGTTAAAAAACACAGATAAGCAAAACAAGGACAAAATTCTACCGTTAATATAGATACAACAACTATTAACAGCTTAACATATTTTTTTCCCGATTCTTTTCTATCAAGATAGAAACATTTATACACATAAAACATATGTATAAAATGTTTATGCATATATATGTTATATGTGTATAAAAACAGATTTTTATAAATTGTCAAAAACTACACATGTACAAACAATAAAGTGTATAAATCTTAGATGTAAAGCATAAGGAATATTTATCATTTGACTATATCCATAAAACTCCATCCAGATGAAGATCTGAACATTTCCAGCACCTAGAATCCATTTCCCACAACCTAGCAAGAGGTTAACCACTATTCTGACTTCTAGCACTATACATTCATTTTGCCTTTTTGTACGTTCATACATATGAAGTCATACAGAACATACTGATTTTTTTTTTTTTACTTAACACCATGTCAGGAACATGTCCATACTTGTTCATCAATCCAAACCTGTATATTCATCCACTAAAGACCTTCTGATGGGCTGGGTGAGGTGGGCTCATGCTGTACTCCTAGCGCTTTGGGGAGCCGAAGCAGAAAGATTTGCTTGAGGCCCAGGAGTTATGGACTAGCCTAAGCAAGATTGAGACTCCATCTCTACCAAAAAAACAGAAAAATTAGCTGGGTTTGTGGAATGCACCCGTAGTCCCAGCGTACTCAGGAGGTTGAGCAGGAAATCGGATTGCTTGAGCCAGGAGTTTAAGGTTGCAGTGAGCTATGATGACACCACTGCACCCTAGCCTGGTGATAGCTCAAAAAAAAAAAAAAAAAAAAAAAAGTTTTCTGATCTCTCTGACCTATTCCATGTGCCTCATAATTTGGATTAATCCAAATCTAAATTCATCATCATTGTATCTTTTCTTAGCTTCCTCTTACACATTCGCAATTACACATTTATAGTTTATACTTACACATTTATAGGTATTACAAATTCACAAGTACACGCTTTATAGGCGTTATTTCTTTAATGACTGCTCCACCCTATGAGACCACAAGCCCACGTGCACAGCGGTCTCTGTGTGTTTTGTTTATCTCTGTTGTTCCCAGCACCTAAAACAGTGGTTCCCCTTTAGTAGTCATCCAATAAATACTTCTTGAATGCATGCAGGCGTGAACCAATACAATGAACGTTTCAATAAATTGTACAATTTACTGAGATAGGAAAGCACCAGGAAAAGGCAGTTGGGAGGGGAAGCATCTTGAGTTTAATTTGGACATGTTCAGTTAGGAAAGGCCATGAGATTTCCTAGCGAGTCCTAGCATTCTAACAGCCTCTCAGAATGGGTCAAACCAGAAACCTCTCTTCTGGTTTCTTTGTCATAATTCCTCATTTATGAGTGTGTTCTTCTTCACAGACTGCCAGCTCGTGAAGGTAAGGACAATGACTCATCACTTTGTCCCCAGCAGCCAGCTTGGCACATGGATGGGCACAAGGGGCGACATGACCGTGGGGAGTAAGTGTCCCAGTTTGCAAATCCAGAGAGGTCAGAGAAGCAGTAATGCTTCCTGCTTGCTTATGTCTTCCTCCTGCTACATCCCAGAGCTCATGTCTAAGGCCTGGCACAAAGTAAATCCAATAAATGTTTGTGGAATTGACTCACCTTCCTTTAACGCAGTCTGAGTTAGACTTTGCTGTTCGGGCTATAGTAATAACCTGCCTCAGGAAGGTCACCTCAGACAGTAGGGTTATCTGCTGTGGGGAAAGCTGAATAAATGTCATTTTGATAGTGGTTGCCATAAAAACATTTTACAAAACAAAGACTATGGCACGCAGGCCACTTTTTGTACTTGGAGGCTGGTCTACTTTAAAGGCAAAGAATGAAAATGGCTCCAAACTTTGGTTTCTATGAGAGAATTTGAATGTTTAAGGAATAACAAACTCTGAATGCAGGAGTTAAAGTAGCCTAGACTCAGGGGACTGTTCACTTACTTACGAATGGTGAAGACCATTCCGATGGAAAAGAAAGGCGAAAATATCGTAGGGTAATTGATGTGTTTGGAAAATATACCTTGTAAGAGGTTATTTTGCATAGACGTATGATTATATTATTGTATATGTTTGGAGTGTTTTGAATGCTACGTTTAAAACAAAATAGAATGGTGTAAAGGAGTAGAATTAGGGTGGCCGTAAGTTGGGTCGCAAGAATGCCATTATGCATAAATGACAAGAGATGGCGCAGCTGCAGTTTGCATAGCACGTTATCAAACTGTTGTGATTTTCGCCCACATATCTGTTGACTACCCATTACTCTGCTAGACAGCAGGGACTTGACTGCTCACGTTCTGTCCCAGGACCTGCAAAGAATAAGGGCTCATAAAGCGAGACTCTGTCTCAAAAAAAAAAAAAAAAAAAAGTGTGTGTAGAATGAATGAATGTGTGGATGTGTATTTTTGTAATTGCAATCGAAAAAGCCTTAAAGACTGCTATCAAACTCTTCTTAGATTTCTCTAGAGATTTCACTCCCATGTAATTTGAATCATAGACACACACCGCAATATATGCACACATTTGCATATACATACACATACATATATAGATTTATATATAAAATATATATAATTTTTTTAAAAAAAAATCAGCAAACATTAAACAAATGACTCCAGGTTCTGCCATAGTGTCTAGGTGGTCCCCGGAGACCTTGGTGGCTGACCAGAGTCTTACCTTGAGGAAGGTGAGGCAATCGTGGTTCTCACTCTTGCCCTTGTCTCGTAGGTCGAAGTTGTACAGGGCCCTGCAGAGCGGGGGTGGCGGGGGCAGCTGCTTGATGACTTCCACGGAGCTGGCTGGGAAGATCCCACTGACGCCGTTGATCTCCCCCTGGTACCAGTTCTCATCCAGCTGTCTCCGGAGGAGGATCACATCTCCCTTATTAAACCTCAGGTCGCCAGGCTTCTGCCCTCGGTAGTTGCATAAGGCCTTGGCTCGAGGCACCTGCAGCGACACAGAACAATACACTATGTACTTAGCTTAGAGGCTGGAAGGGGAGAGGGTATAATGTTAATAACTATATACGGAGCACTTCCTATGTGCTAAGCGTGCGTGTGCATCATCTCATTTAATCTGGGTAGCCCTTTGAAATAGACACGCATTATGCCCATTTATAAGATAGGGCGACTGAGGCACAGAGGGGTAGTAACTTGAGTGAGGTGACACAGCTGGGGAATGGCAGTTATGAACTCTGAACTCAGGCTACCTTCTTCTAAAGCCCTTGTTCTTTTTTTTAATTTTATAATATTAAGGGGGTAAAATGTTTTGTTACATGGATACCTTTTATAATGCTCAAGTCTGGGCATTTAAGCGTGCCCATCACCCAAATTGTGCTCATTGTACCCGATAGGTAAGTTTTTAGCCACCTCCCTCCCTCCTTTTTGATTTCCAAGGACCTTTACATCTCTTTGTGCCCGTGGGTGCCTATTGATCAGTACAGTCCTTGTTCTTAATCACTATGGCAGGAACAGGGTTTTGAACTTGACTCTACAACTGTGTGAACTTGTGTGAGTCAATGACTCTTCCTGGTTTGAATTCTGGCTCTACCTCTTGCCACTTGTATGATCATGGTGAAGCTATTTCATCTTTGTTAAACTGTATTCATTATAAAATGGGGTATTAATAGAATGCCTATCTCATTAGGGCCGTTGTGAGGAATAAATAATATTTATAATGCATTTAGCGTCTCGCCTAGCACATAGTATATGCTCAATAAAGCACATTCTTTATTCTCATCATTTACAGTGGAGGGCTGGTGATATCTACCTACTCCTCAGTATGGATGGGAAGGAAATTGAGGTGAAAACCACCTGAAAATAGAAAGTGCTGTATAAGAGTGATGCAACATTATTTGTCTTCAGCCTTCTGTAGAAAGTGTAAACCTCATGAGTGTTTGGATCATTAAGAAGCTCAACTGCGACAAAGAAACAATTAATCAGAAATCAATCATCAGTTAAAAAAAATAGCTCGGGGAATCATCATTTGTCAAATCAGTTGTCTGTCTAAATAATTATTTCAGTTAGATGCATTTTTTTTTTTTTCCTAATTGAAACTGGTTTCTCCACACAGAAATGCGTTTACTCCGGTTTTGCTTGAAGTCAGCTTGGCAAACTGAAACTTCTAACAGCTTAGGTTTAATAGAAAGCCGTTTAGTCACCTGAAGTTGTATTTTATTTTGTGCTTCTCTGAGCAGTGGGGTGCGGTCGTCTTTTCGCACCGTGGCAGTCTTGCTATTCGTAATGGAGTGTTGGGGGGCATTAATCCAGGTCTTCAAGAATCTCCCAAGTCTGCAGTGTTCATTTGAAAAAAGAATTGCAAGCAGCTTAGGGCTAGAGACAAGACCTGACATCACTTTGCTGATGGGATGGTAGAAGTGTTCTTTTCTCCTGGTCCCTGGAGGCAGTTAGGAGAGCCCAGGAATTAGAAAACCACAGGAACACAGCTCATCCCCAAGAAACTAGGGGACAAGTGAGCAAAGACGTGTGTACCATGGGGCTAACACCATGTTGTGTGTATAAACAGGAAACTGGTGTAATAAATTATGATACACTCATGCGACGAAAAACTCTGCAGTCATTAAAATTGATGATGTTGATCTATAATTAATAACACTGAGTATTACTGATAACAAACTGTTAAGTGTAATAGAAAAGGTTAAGAACGGTTATGTAGACTAGATTTTCATTGTAAATTCATTTCTATATTTTCACTTGGGGGAGAGGCTTGATGACGGTACACCAGCACTTTAGGAGTGCTCATTTCTTTTTTTTTCTTTTGAGACAAGAGTCTCACTTTGTTGTCCAGGCTAGAGTGAGTGCCGTGGCGTCAGCCTACCTCACAGCAACCTCAAACTCCTGGGCTCAAGCGATCCTCCTGCCTCAGCCTCCCAAGTAGCTGGGACTATAGGCATGTGCCACTATGCCCGGCTAATTTTTTCTCTCTATATATTAGTTGGCCAATTAGTTTCTTTCTATTTATAGTAGAGACGGGGTCTCGCTTTTGCTCAGGCTGGTTTCGAACTCTTGACCTTGAGCAATCCGCACGCCTCGGCCTCCCAGAGTGCTAGGATTAAAGGCATGAGCCACCACGCCCGGCCTGGAGTGCTTATTTCTAAGAGGTGAGATTTTCGAATATTAAAAATTTTTTTCCTAAGTACTTAGCTGTGTTTTCTAACTTTTCTACAATGAAATAATGGTATTGCTTATTAAAATCACTTAGTGAGGAGAAAGTGAATGAAGCTGGGGGATGAGGAGTGAAAGGTATGGGAGAAATTTAGGGAGAAAATAAGCCAAGCTGAGAATGATAAACAAACCACGCAGCTACCATTTTAGGGGAAGATTTTCCTTACCTGAGAAATAAGCAGATAGAAGCAGGATGAGAGCAGAGGATTTCTGGGGAATGACCCAAATCTGCTAGATTCCTAGGGTAGGATACATTAGGGAACAATAGTTGTCCCTCCAAATTCCTTCTCTCCACTTGTCCATTTTGTGATACAAACCATGTTTTTTTTTTTTGGTACATGACTACCTGGAATACTGATCACATTTTCCAGCCTCCCTGGCAGCTAAGTTCTGGCCAGTGGGGTGTAAGCTACTTTTAAGAAGTATTAGTACTGGCAGGGCGCGGTGGCTCACGCCTGTAATCCTAGCACTCTGGGAGGCTGAGGTGGGCAGATTGCTCAAGGTCAGGAATTCGAAACCAGCCTGAGCAAAAGTGAGACCCTGTCTCTACTAAAATTAGAAAGAAATTAATTGGCCAACTAAAAATATATAGAAAAAAAATTAGCCGGGCATGGTGTCGCATGCCTGTAGTCCCAGCTACTCGGGAGGCTGAGGCAGGAGGATTGCTTGAGCCCAGGAGTTTGAGGTTGCTGTGAGCTAGGCTGACGTCACGGCACTCTAACCCAGGCAACAACACAGTGAGACTCTGTCTCAAAAAAAAAAAAAGAAGTGTTGATACCGAGAGACTGATTTTGTTTTCTTTCCTCCATCTTTGCCATGTGGACCTCGGATACGGTCCCTCAGCTCTGGCTGCCATCCTGAACACTGGGGACGAGGGCCACACCTAAACAGGGAGGGCAGGAGCCCGGGTGCAGAGCTGCCACACCCATCCCGGACCCTGTCACTTCCAGACTTTTGTCTGAGAGCAAACTAAACTTCCATCCTGCTTAATGCATTGTCCTTTCGGATTTATGAAAAGAAAAGAAGAAGAAAAAAAAAAGAATCCGAGCCTCTTTGGCTTTGCATAATAATGAGGATATTCGACAGCTAACAGTTTAATGGAGTTGTTCGCAAAGGGCAGTGGACTGTGCCTAAGCACACACAATACATTTTATTTAATTCTCAAAACAACCTTTAGGTGTGTATTAGTTCAAATTCCAATTTTCAGATTAGAAAACTGGGAATCAGAGAAGTTACGAGTGGCCACGTTCACGGAGCTAGAAAGCGGTGGATTTAGGATTCGAACGTTAAGTCTATCCTCACGCCCAAGCACTGGTAAGCTTGTGTTTCTCAAACGAAGTCTGTGGTTTGCCTGCATCAGAATCCCGGGAGATGCTAAAAATGCCAGTAACACCATCCCCCCCTGACTAACATGTTGCTCTAAGGTTCGCTGCTACTGGTCGGAACTATAACTTACTATAAATCCAATGGGGGCGATGAATGGAGTTTCGATGTAGGCTTTGTAAATTGCTAACCTGCTTTCTTCTATTTCTTTTTCCCCCCTGGAAGATATTTCCAGTGCAATCCTTTTTATTGATTACTGAGAGAGAGCATGTTAAACCACAATTGCACAAAATGCTGAAATTCCTTTGAAGATGCCTCAACTCTGAAACCTTGAGAGAGTACTAATTGCTTGACGATTTTCATCTTTTCTTCATGTCCTCTCAACATAAGTAAATATTGTGGAAGTGAATTATAATTATTTTTAACATGAAGACCCTCTTCATCTTCTTTCTTTTCGTCTTGGACAATCTCTTCCCTGGTATTCTCAGATATACATTCATGCTTGTAGAAGACATTGGCTTCCACGGTGCAGAGAGGGGTGGAGGGAGGCCGGCAGGGAGGAAGGGAGACAGTGCCCGAGAGAGTGAATGACTCCGAAGAGGAAGTTAACATTTACTGGGGTTCTGCCAGGCCACAGAAATTTTTCTTATGCGATTGCACTGCTTTGCTTTCCATGTATTATCTCATTCATATGATCTCAAAACCCTATGAAGGAGGTGGTAGCGCCCTACTTTATCAAGGAGGAAACAGAAGTTCCAAAATGACAGATGTCACCAGACACGGTCACAGAGCCAGTGCATGGCAGACTCAAGATCGGCCGAGGCTCATTTGACCTGCAAGCCCTGGTGCTCCTACCACCCTCGTTGTCTGCCATTCAGCTGAAGTCACCTCGCATGTTTTTCCATCATAAAACTCATCTGGGGCTGTGTTTTGTAATCAGAATCTGAATAGAGTGCGAATGCAATTTGCCGGCTGCCGGCTGCATGGGCATGAATTATTGAACTCCGGAGCCCTCACATAAAAGTTAAGCACCTGAAGAGACTCGGCTGGTTGATTCCACCCTGTCCTCCACTGCTCTCTCAAGGGACAATGATTCCAAGTTGCACGTCAGCTCTCACCTGCTGTATTGCTGGTGACAGCTTTGATCACCCCTAATTGTTTTCTGTGTCTACAGGTGCAGGGGTGAGGCGGGGGTATGGGGACAGAGTGCGTGTGGAGGTCTCAAGGGCAGGTCGTCACCAAGCTCCTCTTCCTTGTGCAATGTCCAAAAGGCTTTCCTTTCCTGAGATTCAGAAGCTCAAGACATCTACGCTCCTATAATTCGTCTATTCCATTTGTCTCCTCAATGGGATCCGAGGACCACAAGAGCCATGATTGGGGTGGAGAATAGAACCCAGAAACAAGGGCATGCGGGTACTTGAGTAGTAAAGTTTTGTTCTT